CACCTTGAGCAGAATTCAAACAAGCACTTAAATACTTTGTGTTCTACGGTTTGAGTCTTGGCTTACTTTAATAATTCTCTATCATGAGGTTTCACAGATACGCAGTCACACATTGCATTAGATGAGCCCTCATTTTATTCCTTAGAACTATTTCCAATGAATTGAATTATTAGCAAGTAGAATATTATAAACCCTGTAAAGGTTTAAATACGCCAGCATAACTTATTTTTTAAAAGCCTTTTGAAATTTTTTATAACTTGAAATATTTTATGATATGATTAATAATTCATGTAAGTTTGTTTACTTTTATTGGGTATTCTATTGAAAATTTTTATTTTAACCAAAAGAAAACCTATGCTATAAAATATTTTTCCTTTATCTAGTTTAGGAAACACCTGCAGCTGTCAGGCATTGAAATTTGTTATAGATGATAATAGGAGTATTGGCATTATATTTTAGTTTTTCCTGCTACATAGTATACTCCTTTTTATCTATATTAAATGTATATTACTTTTAAAGTGAATGAGTCCTATGTAGTTGTCTTTTTTTCTTTCTGTCAATAAAATGCGTAAAGGGTGTTGGCGTTCTATTTAGTTGTGGGATAGTTTGCCTTTATCAGTTTATCCCACGTTTATAACTATGCCTCATTGAATAATATAAACAGATATTTTTCTGATAAATTATTCCATTTATTCGTCTGTGTCAGTGATGAATTTGAGTAGTGAGTGATTCATTTTGCTGTCTAGATAATCACAGACTAGATCGATTGGCTTGTTATTTAAAAAAATCTTTGGTACTTGGGTGCAGAGTTTGACTGGGGTATGAATCAAGTTGGTAGCACAAAGATACCAGGAAAATGAAAGACAAGAGAAATGGTGAATGTCTACAGACAAAAGGACAATGTAATAGAATATACACTGGTGAGTAGTTGGTCAGGGAATCAACGATAGGAGATGAGTGTTCAGTAAATCCGTGTAATCTTTGTTACTTTTTCTCTGAAAAGATTTTTAACTCTGACTTTGGCTTTCTGTAACTTGGTAGCCAAGCTCTTTGAAATTAATTCCTTTAATTCTTTCCCATAAGCTCTTTGCTCCATTCCTTCGTTCTTATTGCTGTATGGTATGTAGTATTTTAGGGGCCATCCATCTTACTGGATATATAAAGTAACATAATTAATGTAAGGAATATGTCATATTATATCCTCTTCTTTCTTTGTGTATAGTTTAAAATAACTTTGATTACTATGAAATGAGTAACTTTTATCTGATTTTCTGTTTGCTCTCTTCCCTGAGCTACTTTTGATTATTATGTCTTTAGTAGTTCCTAATCTGAATTTTTAAATTATTTTTAATTACATTTTTATTATTTTACCTTAGATTCACCTAATTTTATATTTCTTGATGCATTTTAGTAGCCTTAGTTAACGTGCATACATTAAAACATTTGTTTTCTTTAGGCCTTTAAAAAAATTAAATGGGGTTAGGTTCTAGTGTCTTTGTAAAGCCCACGAGCATCTTTAGTTCACAAGTTGATAGAAACATTTAAAACCTTTTTTTTTTTAAAATTTTTACCATAAATCATGTCATGATTATTTATAATCATTATTAAAACAGTTTTTTAACATAACTTCAGAATAAGGATATTACTGTTATAAGCTCAGGGCAGAGGAGTTCGTTAGCTGTGGTTACTTCTTAAGCTTATATAAATAGACTTAAAAGGATGATCTGAATTGAGGGTCTATAGTTCAGTGGTTCTTAGTTGACAAGTGTTTGAAAGCTGTCAACCTCCTCCCAAGGAAAAAAGAATGGACATAATATACATTCCTGGTTAAAAAAAATCTCTGCACACTCATATAAATCCCTGTAGTCTTTTGATGGGAGGTATAGTCTGGTGGTGACATGGCAATGACATTTAGCTGGAAGATTTGCCACATGTCTTCATTATCCAGTAGTGTAGAATCTCCACTTATTTAATGAAAATATCTCTAAATTTTGCTACTATTTTATTTAATTTCATCTAGATTCAAAGCAGATTAATTTCATACAAGTGCAGCCACTTCACATTTTGTGATTTAGCATATAAGGAATTGTATACACCCACTCCTCACTTATCGACATGGTTAGGTTCCAAAGACCAGGTCATTATTTGAAAATTAGCGTTATGCAAAAATGGAGGATTTTTTTTTCTGTTTTCAGACCATCCATTTGCCTGATTTTTTTTTTTTTTTTTCCAGAAAATATGATCATAGAAATAAGAACAATTAAGATTTACTGATGTGCTCATCACTGTGATGAGTCTAGTTATGGATTATTCCCCTGCGGAGAAGGAGGATGGAGGAGACAAAGCTGGATAAAGCCGGGCTGTGTGACTGGAGGGCCTGTGGCTTAACCACTTCGCTTTCCTCCTGTGCTGGGTCAGAGCTTCCCTGGTGGAGCCACCTCCAGGGCTCCACTGCCACCCCTGCACGTCAGAGTCTGTTCTGCCTTCCTTGCCTGGCAAGTCACCGAACCTGGGCTCCAGGCTTCCTGCAGGGTGCTGGGAGCCTGGCCAAGCACCCGGCCCCACTGAGTCAGAGGCTTTAGGCCCAGTTAGGCTCACTTTGGGATGTCATTAAACTCACACTCATTTCTTCCAGACACCCTCTCTGGTGCCTCCTTCTTTCCTCCCTTCCCACCTACAGCAGATTTGAGCTGCAGGGCCTCAGGCTGCATAGGAGCTGGGAACCCAGAACAGGCATCTGCTGCCTGGTGCTGCCTGCACATCCTCCTGGAGTTGTGGCCATGGAGGAGGCTGGCCCTGGGTGGCAGCTGGACGTGGCACCCCAGCTGGCAGACGGGAGCGGAGGGTGTGGGGCAACGTAGCCCAGCTTTCCCTAGGCCCCCTGGAGACCCTCCTCGAGGGATGGGCTGCTCCATAGCCATTGCTGCTGTACCCGCCGCCTCGTTAATGTGCAAAATAGTTGGCTAGTCAATTTTTGACTATTGTCGTAAATGCGAAGTGTCGGATAACAAGAAAGTTGATAAGTGAGGAGTAGGTGTAGTTGTATATTGGTATATCATTACACATCAATTCTTGGACTAAGATGATAAGTATGCTACAGTTATAATGCCTGGGCATCATAAATATACTTCTTTTCTCTAGAAAATTCGTTGCCAAAAAGGTTGTTTGGTAAAAAAAATTTAGTAGAGCATAGTTTGTTCATTTGTAACTTATCTTTCCTTGGCTACTGCTGCCAATAAGAAGTTCTTTGGGAATTATCATCCAGGTGAAGAATATATTAAGTGAAAGATAAATGGTAACTGTATCTTACAAAAAAATCAGGAAAATAAAGTATTAATATTTTATGTAATTTTATATAGACTTACTGTAATATTAGACCTTGGACTTCAGAAATATTCTAGAACAACTTGACTTCTTTTTTACAGGAAAAAAAAGAAAAAACCCAGATGTTAAGGGATTTGTTAGAAATCACATACTTTGTGTTGGAGTATGGATTAGGACTCAGGTATCTTAATTTTCAGGACCACCCCAACACTCCTATTATATTCTTGTGCTCTTGATTCATTATCTTACAACAACCTGTAGTCTGAAAAACAAATCACATTTTTTTAAAACAACATAAGTTTTAAAATCTTTTAAATAGCGTACAGATTTTCATTCAGAATCAGTGACTACAGATACAGAACTTTAGGTTAAGGAGATACTACAATTAACTTCTTGAGGCAGTGAACCACTTAGCATTTCTTCTCTTTTAATTTGTTTTTGTCTCAAATTAGAATACTTATATAAAGCATTATTTCTTCAGGCAAGAGGCTATATTCATTTTTCCCGTAATTTTTCTTTTGCTCTTTAGAAATACTTGCTGCTTTCAGGAGATGTATAAAATGTTCTTTGGCATCAAATATTTGTAATTGCAGCCATTTTATTTTTTTTTTACAACTTCGGTGTGCACAAAAATGATTTATTCTTTTTCCATTTTAATTTTGGAATAAGGAGTATGTTTTGATTATATGAATGTAAGAGGATCGTGACCAGTCAAGGTCAGTGAATCGTCTATTACAAAACCAGTGAAGTAGAATTGTTTAATGTCCTTCCTACACATTCTATTATCACAAGTTTTCACCTGTCAATTTATATTTTGTAAGTAAGTTATCTCCCCTATATGAAAGCTAACATTTTTGGGGTCGTTTTTTTTTTCCTCCTTTTTAACGTATTAGGTATTTAAATAATAAATGAATTAGAGAGCTAATTGTGTACTTAAAGTTATGAATGACACCTGGACTTAAGTAATGTCCAGGGTCAGTGTGGTTGAGAGCCATAATCTGAGTTTATATTCAAGTTCTTAGCATCAGTTATAAAAGTTTTATAACAAATGCATTTTTTAAAATTATGCTGTACTAACTTTACTAATTAAATTCCTCTTGATGAAAACTTCTTTTATCTTAGAAAATGGCCTTAGGCATTCTCTTTTAATTTATCGATTTAGAACAAACTGAAAAGATTTAGGATAATTACAATGCACATGGTGTCTAGTTTGCTGATGGTATTTTTCCTTTTTTGTAGCTTATAAAGTGAAGTATTTTAAACTCCTAAAATTAAATTTTACTTCTCTAATGATAAGTAATAATCTATCCAAAGGGTGTTCAACATCAGCTTTCATTTTATAGTGCAAAAGCTTCACGGTGATATAAAACCTTATGACATTTTAATTAGGAAAATAGACCATAGAACTCCATAAGATGGAATAAATTTCCCACTGCTTGCATCTTCTACTAAGTTGGAATGAAAAATATATTAAAATTTACATTAAATCAGATCTGTTTTCTAAGTTGAGGAGTCAGGGAAAAGGGGGATAGAATGGGGATTATAGGATGTGTTTGGGACTCCATGTGGGGGCAGGGTCAAAGCAGATCTTTAATGATAAAGAAAAAGGAAATTTTTGCCAGGGCATTTGAGTTACATGGTTCTTCCCTTCCTTTTTTTTTCTTTTTTTATTGCAGGCAAAGGGGAAGATAGTGATGTACTCAGTATAAATGCAGATGCTTATGACAGCGACATAGAAGGCCCATGCAATGAAGAAGCAGCTGCTCCCGAGGTCCCAGAAAATACGGTCCAAAATGAAGCTGGTCAGATAGATGACTTGGAGAAAGACATTGAGAAAAGTGTGAATGAGATTCTGGGACTGGCAGAGTCTAGTCCAAAGGAACCCAAAGCAGCCACCCTGACAGTTCCCCCACCAGAAGATGTTCAGCCCTCTGCACAGCAGCTGGAGCTGCTAGAACTGGAGATGAGGGCAAGAGCGATTAAGGCACTAATGAAAGCTGGCGATGTGAAAAAGCCAGCATAGTTATTGAATTTGAATTTTAGGTGTATTTGAATGAAGCCATGTCATATAATTTTGTTTATGAGGTTTATTTTGGGTCTTATATGACATTTCTCATGTAACTCTTATTAGGTAAACTGATCATAGGCTTAAGATGTCTGGTTGTTTTTTGTTCCTTTTATATTGTATATGTGTGTTATTGTTTTATGAATTCATGACAGATATAGTTGGATAGCCTGGAAATTTTGTTAGATGAGTACTTAGCTACGTCTGCAAATTAATATCTTGAAAGCCATTAGCAAAGAGTCACAGTGTTTTTTCTTTACTTGTAAATATTTTGACACCAAACCTCAACGCTTCAGAAAGATTGACCAAGCATGTTACTCTTAAGGCTACCTATATTTTAAAATAGAATATTAAATTATTACTCCTAGATTTGTTAACAATTTAAGAAATTTAGTTTAGTTTATCTGCACTTTTAAAATATATACTGTCTTGGCGATGCCTTCTGTTGGTGTGGATTTACTAGTTAAAACTGAATCACGTTTTTTTTTATAAGGATGAGATCCCAAATAGCTGAGGGAAACTTTTTTTTAATAAGTCAAAAAAGTGACTTAATTTAAGGCAATTATTAACAATGTAGAACTAATTGCCCAAGTTTAATTCCAGCAGACAAGTCATTCTGACAGGTATTGGACATTATTGGACACTTAGTTCAAGTTTTTTTGTTTTCAATTAAAAAAGAACCAATTTTCATTTACATTCCAAGCTGTCAGGAAGAGGAGAATGTTTTATTGTATAATATTTCATTGGGTGTTTTTTCTTGACGATCTGATGTGATATAAACTCCATGAATCAAAAAAAAAAAAGAAGATTGTCATTCTGGAACTGAAGACTTTTGATACTTTTCCAAAGGCAAAATTAATTTCAGGGACCTTTGATAGGTTGATGTCATCATTAATCTAATTTTGTATAGTTTTTGTAAATAAAGTAACATCCTGCCGTAATGAAAGATGCTTTTTCCTCCCTTTACTAATTGCAGTTGTTTGATACCAACATAAATTTAGGTAGGGACCCTTAACTTAAATTAATTTTTCTTCTTGAATATAAATTTCAGGCTATTGTTTTAATATTCAGTTACAACTATAGTGCATTTTATTTGTAAGTCATGCTACTGGTGTTGTATGAGAATCTACCTCATACACAAAGCTTGTAGGGATTGATTTTACTAGCTGACTTAATTATATGTTCATTTTAGAGGGTTTCTTATGAACTAGAGGGCATTTATTAAACATTGGAGTTGCGGTTACAATTTTTGTTTTTTCCTGAACATGGCTTTAAAATAACCCTGCTTTTTTTCTTTATTCATGAATCTTTCTAATGAAACAGAGATCTATATCATTTGAAATGCTGCTTTTACAGTGGTAAATGTGGATATGATTTACACAGTGAGTTCTCATTGTTACTGCTTTAGGATGAAAAAGCATCGATTATGGTAAAATAATTTTTCTATTCCAAGTTAAAATAAAAATAACAATAAACTTCATTGCTGCTTACTAATTACAAAATGCAGTAGATGTCATTCATGTGATTCAGTTTATGACATAAACATAGAAAAAGGTCTGAGTGCTCTATGACCGTTTAAAGTCACCACCTTCATGAGCATTGTGTGTCTGTTTTATTCAGTGTGCAGAATGGTTGAGAGGACATTTGACTGGAGTAGAGTAGATAATGTGTGAGGTAGAATGAGCTGAACAAATTAGAGGCTACTTAGATGCCGACCTTAAAAAATCAACTTTGTCTCTCTCTCTCCCTTTTTTTAATACTGAAAGACCTGAGAGGTTTTTAAGAATGAATAGCTTTAGAGAATAGGAATAACTTAGTTTTAAAAATGCCAAAGTAATGGGAAAATACCATATATTGATCTGATGCTGCCATTTAAATCATCAACTTCCAAGTATTTATTGAATGCCTCCAAGGTGTTCAGTCTTGTTTAGAATATTAAACCCAGAGATGCTACAGTATAGATTTGTGTATGGAATACACTGATTAATAAAGCTATGAGTGCTGCTTCTAATGCCTAATTTCTCCTTTTTGCTGAGGTAAGGAAAATTTCTAGGTACTATTTAATTAATTAAAACAGCCACAAAAAAAAAAAGTCAGCTTAATTTCCCATTCAGTATCAAGCAGTCCTGATATTTTGCTTGCTTCAAGTCTTGAATAGGTGGTAATTCATAAGAACCTCTGCATTAATGAGCAGTTGCCTCAAGCACTAGGCCTTGGTCTGCTTTTCAGTGTTCCTACTAATCTGCACACTCAAGATATATCCTAAACACTTACCAGCCAGTTACCAGCATAACATTCCCATTATGAAAAAAATCACTGAAGCCCTCCAAATCTTTTCGTTGTACACTATCATTTCCTTAAAACTTTCAGGTAATATGTTCTTTCCTTATAAATCTTGCTGCCAAAACTTATTGTCAGCAAAATGTTAGATTTAGGCGTGCTATGCTAATTTTTTCTTACAGCAACATGTGGAAGAGGATTGGCATGGAGGCACTTGTGTGGGTGCCTTGCAGGGGAGGGCACAGCCGTCAAACCCAGAGGCTGCGCGTTATTTGCATAAAATATGGTAGTTATCTTGAGTAAAGGTGTTGTGAATCATTTGAACAGTAATACAAATTACAAGAAAATATGCATTTTTAAAATGCCATTTTCAAGGCAAATATGAAGCCAGAATTGGAGCCAAATCTATAGAGCAGCCTAAAAATGTTAAAAATTCTCAGAATATTCTTCTATTATAAAAACTAGGAAAAAAGAATCTGTGCATACTTTTCCTTTAATATATCTATTTAATCTTTAAGATTTAAAAGACCAATATGTTTTAATTTAAAGCTGCTTTAGATATTTTGGAGCCCTGGTGGTGCTTTGGTTAAGAGTTTGGCTGCCAACCAAAAGGTCCACAGTTCAAATTCACTATCTGCTCCTTGGAAACCCTGTGGGGCGTTCTACCCTGTCCGCTAGGGTTGCTATGAGTTGGAATTGACAGCAACGGGTTTGTTTTTTGGTTAGATATTTTACATTTTCTTTATTTTCAAGTAGCCTCCCTTTTTAAAACAACAAAGTGCTAGTGAGTAATCAATAGGAACTCTATTTTCCTTGATATTTAATAATTATTTTAAAATGCTTTATGATCAATGGAGTGTGAAGAGCTAAGAGCACAGGGTTCTGGGTCTGTCCTAACCAGCTGTGTAACCTTGGACAAATAACTGTAAATTAAGAGAAATAAATAATCAGCCAATATATAAGACTTCTTTTAGCTATAATCTGTAATATGAATACAGGATACCGTGAAATTTTTAGGAAACATGTAGAACTCTTTTGAGGTTACGTATTATCTTCTTCCCCTGCACACATTCAAATTGAAGCAGTCTATTTAATCTTTGTCCCTCAGTGTTGCTGGAGATGAGCAATAGTCTTAAAAGTTATTTTTTTTTTCTCTTTACCTATTATAGTCTTCATTGTCAGGATCACTTCGTAAGTACACTGTCTAGAATTTCTTGCTTTGGCCCATAAACTTAGGTTAACTTATCATTAATTTATGGTTTTATTTATTTCAAAATAATATGTAAATTATTTTAAGAGTCAAAGCTTTTTTCAAGTTTTGTAGTGAAAAACAGCACTCTCCTTCCTGACCCTTTCCACACACTGTTCTTGCTTCTGAGAGTTAACTACTTCCAAATCTTAGCTGTTTCTTCTAGTGTTTATCTCTCTATTTCTAAATAACATGATCGTTACATTATTTCTTGGTATTGTTTTAGATTTTATCTATTGATCTATTTTGGAATATGAAGATTAATCTCTATTCTGTCTTCTTGCCAAAGCATGTACCTTACTCCCTTATCCTCTCAATACAGTGCAGTTACATCACAATTTTTGGTTAAATTAACATTCAATATTTATTCAATTTTAACTACGTAAATACTATTAAAACTGGGCTATGTGTTACAAGTAATTATGTTTCCATTTTTTTTCCCCAAATTTTTGTTTTAAGGTTTTTGGGATTAATAATATAATTACCTTGTTACTTCATTTACTTTATTTTCTGTGTTGTAGACCTTAATTTATACCCTAACTTGTTCTTGTTGGTGCACTTGAATCGGTTCCGACTCAGACACCCTATGTACAACAGAACGGAACACTGCCAGGCCCTGTGCCATCCTCACAATTGTTGCTATGTTTGAGCCCATTGTTATAGCCACTGTGTCAATCCATCTCATTGAGGATCTTCCTCTTTTTTTCTGGCCCTCTGCCAGCATGATGTCCTTCTCCAGGAACTAGACCCTCCTGGTAACATGCCCAAAGTATGTAAGACAAAGTCTCGCCATCTTCACTTCCAAGGAGCATTCTGGCTGTACTTCCTCCCAGATAGATTTGTTAGTTCTTCTGACAGTCCATGGTATATTCAATATTCTTCACCAACACCATAGTCTAAAGGCATCAATTCATCAGTCTTCCTTATTCAGTTTTCCCAGGGATGTGAGGCAATTGAAAATACCATGGCTTAGATCAGGCACACATTAGTCCTCAAGGTGACACCTTTGCTTTTTAACACTTAAAAGAGGTCTTTTGCAGCAGATTTTCCCAGTGCAATACGTAGTTTGATTCCTTGACTGCTGCTTCCAGTGGGCGTCGATTGTGGATCCAAGTGAAATGAAGTCTTGACAACTTCTCTTTTCTCCGTTTATCATGATGTTGCTTATTGGTCCACTTGTGAGGATTTTTGTTTTCTTTATGTTGAGGTGTAATCCATATTGAAGGCTGTAGTCTTTGAGCTTCATCAGAAATTCTGCAGAAGTGTAAATCTCTTCTCAATAGGTTCAAATATATAATATAACCTATCACTTGTCTTTAAAGAATTTCCTCCTGGAGCTCGCTAATCTATACTGGTTGCTCTTCAACTTGATCCCCATTTACTAATCCTCTGTCATCCTCTTTTGGTTTATTTCCTCATCTTGGTGGAACAGCTTTCTTCCAACAGCTTTCTGAGAAAGACTGCATGAACAATAATTTGTTTTGATTCTTTATTCTGTCTATGCACTCAATTGAATTTTTATATAGAGTGTTGACTTCTAGGCTGAAAATCATTATCCTGAATTTTACAACACTGCACAAATGTTTTCCAAACCAACCCAAACCTGTTGCAGTTGACTTGATTCAGATTCATAGTGACCCTATAGAACAGAGTAGAACTGCCCCATAGGGTTTCCAACGAACAACTGGTGGATTCAAACTGCTGACTTTTTGGTTAGCAGCCGTAGCTCTTAACCACTGTGCCACCATTGCTTCTACTTACATTGAAGTTGTTGAGCAGTCATTTGTCATACTTATTCTTGATACTTAACGTGTTCTGTTTCTTTCACTTTGGAAGCTTTAAAGATCTTTATCCCCACTAATATGAAAATTCTTGATGATATGTCAGGGTATGGATCTTTTTTCACTCATTGAGTTAAAATTGATGGAGTCTTCAGTGGGGATATTCATGTTCTTCAGTTCTGGGAAGCTTTCTAATATTACTTCTTGGATAAATTCCTTTCTCTCCCGCCCCCCACTTTTTTTTAATCTGCAATTCCTTTTATTCATATACTGACTATTTTGGCTTGACCTTTTGATTTCTTATCGTTCCTATTTTTCATCTTTTTCTTCTACTTTTTTGATCTTTTCTCAATTTTCTCTTCCAGTTCTTCCAATGATTTAAAAAAATTTCCCATATCATATTCTTAATATACAAAAGATTTTTTTGTTGTTTATTATTCTCTAAATATTTGCATTAAAAAATAGTTATTATGTTCTTGTTTCTGTAGGGGAACATGTCGGCCGTGGCACCCTGGTGACATTGCATGTATCCACATAGGTCATGAAGACAGAACTTGGACTTCAGGCAGACCTAAGTTGGGGTGGAACACCCTGTGATCCTCCCAGGAACGTGGCAAGACAAACAGTCTTGTGTGGAGCTGTCACATGACCATATTCTTATCCCCCTTTCTATCTTGCAGGAGGTTCCCTAACTTGCAGGCAGACATCACAAGACAGTTTTTTCCCATCTGCTTCCCTGGTTCCTGTGAGGCAAAAGACTTTACGCCTTTCCCTCTCTTAGGGCACAGCAGGAGACTATAAAAAGCTTGGCCACAGCATGGCATTAGTTCTTGTGCAATAGGGTATCACACAAAGATACCTCAAGTTGCATTGTCGTTTGACCTTTGTGTGTGTGTCACTCTGTACAGCGGCCATGTGGGGCTGGCACCTTTGATTACTATTTTTTTCACCAGCTGCTCCTTGGAAACCCTATGGGGCAGTTCTACTCTGTCCTGTAGCGTTGCTATGAGTCAGAATCGACTCGAAGGTAATGCGTTTGGTTTTTTTTTTTTTTTTTTGATGTAAGTAATAAGCTGTGTTAACCTTTTTTTCTTTTTTTTTAAATTCTGCTTTAGGTGAAAGTTTACAGCTCAAGTTAATTTCTCATACAAAAATTTATACACATATTGTTACTTGACCCTAGTTGCCGTCCCTATAATGTGATAGCACACTCCCTGTTTCCACCGCAGGTCTTCTGTATCCATTCAGCTAGCTCCTGTCCCTTTCTCCCTTCTCATCCTGCCTTCGGACAGGAGCTGTCCATTTAGTCTCATGTATCTACTTGAACTAAGAAGCACGCTCTTCAAAAGTATTATTTTATGTTTTATAGTCCAGTCTAATCTTTGAAGAATTGTCTTCGGGAATGGCATTAGTTCTGGGTTAACAGAGAGTCCGAGGGCCATGTCTTCTGGGGTTCCTGTAGTCTCAGTCAGACCGTTAAGTTTGGTCTTTTTACGTGAAATTGAGATCTGCACCAAACTTTTCTCCTTCTCCGTCCAGGACTCTGTTATATTCCCTCTTAGTGCAGTCATTGGTGGTAGCCAGGCACCATCTAGTTCTTCTGGTCTCAGGCTGATGAGGTCTCTGGTTTATGTGGCCCTTTTGTCTCTTGAGCTAATATTTTCCTTGTGTCTTTGGTGTTCTTCATTCTCGTTTGCTCCAGTTGGGTTGGGACCAACTGATGCATCTTAGATGGCCACTCGCAGGCTTTTAAGACCCC